GTGGCAATGAGTTTAGGTTCTGGTTATCTGTTGGTCACGGGACTGAAGCCTAGCTCCATCCCTTACTAACATTGTGACTTCTGACAAGTTCTTTAATTTCTGAGCCTCAGTGTCCTAATATGTAAAATGGAGTTGGCCATATCCACTTCATAGGGGTGTTACTAAATGTGATTAGTTTGTTACTAAGTTAAATGTTATAGAGATTAAAAGACAGAAAAAGTAGAAGCTGTTAGAGCATATAATAAGAACCATAACTTCATTATTGGATTGGATGTCTGACAATCAACAAAGTAACAGGGAAAAAATTGATATGAGAGAAATTGTTAGATTAATGAGACTTGTTAGATCATTGAGACTGGGAGGCTATGTTTTTAATAGCTTCCATTATGATCTTAATAAATAACACTTGTGAGACCTACTATGTTAGCACAAAGGAAAAGTGAAGAATAACTATGTGTGCTGTCCTAAACCTTTATATTAACTCATTTAATCATCATAAAGACCTGAAGAGAGATTATAAATACTTCAGCCTCATTTTCAGGTGTGGAAATTGAAGCACAGAAAGGTTAAGTATTCAGCTCAAATTAACTCAACCAGTAAGGGATAGAGCCAAGATTCCAATGCAGGTCATGTGTCTCTACTTCACCGCATTTGCAGGGGTAGAGCACCAGCATAATTCATTCATCAAACATTCACTGAGTATATACTACATTCCAGACAATGTTCTAGGCAAATTGGATACAGAAGTGACTACATATTTACATATACCAGATATTTAGGGAACGAGATAGATATTAACAAAGTGAGCAATAAATACATTAATAATATAAGTTTCAGATACTGGTAAGTGCAATTTAAAAAGTAATAAAGCTATGAAAGTGGAAAAAAGTGCAATGGGGATGCCAGTATGAATTTAAATGGGGTGCACAAGGGAGGCTTTTCTGAGACATTTGAGCAGATATTTAATGATGAAAAGAGCAAGTCAGGTAAAGATCCAAGGGGAGATTCTAGCAAGAAGACAGAACAACAAACATAAAGACTTAAGGTAGGAAAAGCTTGGCTTTTTTGGAGGATTGACAAGAAAGTATGTGTGAAATGCTCTAGGAGTTGGTGGTGAGGGCACTATGTCACCCAGGGAAGCAGGGGTCAGATTGTATAAGGTCTTATAGGTGATGATAATGAGTGTAATTATCACCTCTTGGAGGGTTTTAGAATAAAAGTGGTATAATCTGGTTTATATTTTGACAAAGATTACTCTGGCTACTTTGAGGAGTGGGCAGAAGTGGATTCTACTATAGGGGGCCAGGCATGGGAATGATTTTAGTTTGGACTAGGCTTCAGCAGGGTCGGTGATAATATTTGATTGATTTTGAAATACATTTTCATGGCAGCACCGGTAGGCTTGCTCTGGATGCCAAGGGAAAAAGAGCAATTAAGCAAGATTCCTGGAGGAGGCTTTTTTTGAGGGCCTGAATAATAAGGGAACTGATAGAACCAATTAGCTAAGAAGAGGAATATTCGGGTAGAAGCAGCTTTTGCTCCCAGGGTTGGGAGTGCAGGGAAATCATGAATTCTGTTAGGAACATACTCAGTTTAGAAGACCTTCTTGATATTCAGCAGAGATGCCAACTGGACTGTTAGCTGTGCACATTTGGAATGCAGGAGAGAGATCATAACTCAGATTTGGGAATCATCGGTTGATAGTTGGTATTCAACACCATGGGTCTGGATGAGATCACGAAGGAATGAGGAGAGGTTGGGAAGAGGTCTGTGCATTGGGTTTCTGGAGTGCTCCAACATTTAGAGGAGGCCTCTAGCAAGGAGACGAAGACAGAGTGTCAATGAAGTAGTGAATAAACAGGAGAAATGTTTTGTCCTGCAAGGCAAGGGATTATTATCTTGAAGGAAGGAGCCAGTGACAACTGCATCAAATGTTGCTGAAAAGTCAGCGCAGAGAAGTGATGCTTGAATTTCGTAAGATGGAAACTGTCAAGACTTTGATGAAGATGGTTGTAGGACTACTGATGAAAATAGTGAACTAGGTTAAAATAAGAAAATGAAGTAATAAAGTGGACTTACTGAAAACGGACAGCTTTCCTAGATTTTTGGTAAAGAAACTAGAATTATGAAACAATAACAAGAGGGGAACATTGGGCCAAGTGATATTTTGTTTTGTTTTGCTTTTTCTTATATCATTCCATTGCTAGAGGACTTTTTTTTTCTTTTTTAATGAGAGATATTACATCATGTCTGTATTAAATATCCAGGGGAAAAAGAGAGAGAGAAACTGATACTGCAGGAGAGAGAGAGAGCGAGAGAGGAGACAACTACAGAAGCAGAGTCCTTAAACAGACAAAAGGTTGCAGAGTGTGGGTCACAAGTGAAGGGCCGGCCTCCTAAAGGAGCAGGGAATGTTCTTCCATTGAAACAGGGAGAGCACACTGGCAGAGCTGGTGGCAGGAAGGTGACGTGGTCTTCCTGTGACTACTTGGGTTTTCTCAAGGACATAGGAAGAGAGCAGTCTCAACTGCTGAGACGGAGGATGAGGTTGGGGGTGATTGAGATTTGAGAAGAGCAAATAAGTTGTGAATCTGTTGTCCCAGAGAATGAGAGAGTGATTTTTCTAAAGAAACGTATAAGAATTGCTAAGATGCTTTGAAGGTTCGCTTGAAATCAATAGCTATAAAATTAAAGTGAGGTGAACAAGGGCTTCTCTAGACCCATTCATTTGCCCAGGCTCTGGCATGGAGGGCTGAGGCTCTGCTGGAGGAGCACAGAAAGGGAGAGAGGAGAAGGCATATTAAAAGCCTGTGAGAGGGAGACTTGGGTATGGTGGGTGGGGGTGGGGTGGGCATAGGAAAGGTGAAAACTGGAGGGAAATGGTAAAATTGGTGATTCCAGGTCCCAGTGGAGTTGGAAGACTTTTTGAGGGGGGTGGTACTGGAATAAATGAAAAGAATGGAAAAGAGGTCATGTTCAACAAAGACGATGCTTGACAGAGGTTTTGGGGGCCAGTGTAGCTCATGGCAGTGATGAGGTTCAGAGTGTGACTGAGACTCCAAGGGCAGGAGGTGAGATGACCACCAGATCCTGAGGCAAGGGAGTGTCAGAACACAGCCTAGAGCACACAGTTGTCTCACTCCCACTGACTGTTCTACCTCGCACCAAAGTGAGCCTCAATTTTCTGACCTATAAAACCAGGATAACCAAACGGTGTCATGTTGAAGATGAGGGCGTGTGGGGAGAGAGAAGGGGTGACTCCATGAGTGTGAGATCTGTGCCGTCAAACAGGCTCCTGCATTTAAGAAAAGTCATGTGGCACTTAATGCCTGGGTCTTGACCTCTTTTTTGATTCTTAATAATTTTTAAACAAGGGCCTCTACATTTTCATTTTATACTGTGCTCTGCAAATTATATAGCCAGTCCTAGAGAGAAGATTAGTGACTTAGTAGGAGAAATGTGTTCTCTTTTTTCATTTGGGCTAATTTTCCATAAGCCTTATTTTTCTCCATTTAGCATGCCATTAAAATTTAACCAAAGTTCATAATGGAAGTTTTAAAGAACACATCTGTCAAACACTTAACTTTTAATGTAAATTTCCTTTTAAAACCACTCATGCTCAATAAAAATTAGGCTGAAAATGAAAAATTCTCTGACTCAGGAAAGTGAATAATCAGTAAACTTAAAAGGAAATACACGTTTAAGTGCAGGTCTAGAGTCTGAATTCATACTTGAATGGAACAGCTTAGAAAAATTTATTATTTATTATTTCTCATAAATGAATTATAGGTTTATTATGGAATATTTAGCAAAAAATGCAAACGAAAAGAAGAAACAAAAAAATTATCCAAAATCCTTAACAAGAGTTAACATTTTAATGTGGATCCTTTCAGGCTTTCTGTGTATACTTATAAATGCAAATTATACGTGTTGGTACTTATGGGATTATATTTACATACCATTATAAAATTTATTTTTTTTTAATTTGGTAAGATAACTTTGTTAGGCCTTCCATTCTTATGCTTAAATATTCTTAAAAATACTATTATAATATAATTTAATATAGTTTTCTATTATTTGGAATATAATAATGTATTATTAAACATTTGACTTTTTAAATCTTCACTATTATAAATACCAATATAAGCATTCTTTATATCTTTATATATTTTATAAGTATAATTTTTGAGTCAAAAAAGTGTGCCCATTTTAAAGCTTTTGATCCATTTTTCCAAATTACTTCTACAATTTCTAGAGCCACTCCATGGCAGTGAATATTAGCCTTTCTTTTAAATTTTGCCAATTGGACAGATAAAAACGGTTTAACATCACTGTTTTCTTTGTTTATTAATAAGGTTGAACAAGTTTTCATGTGTTATTAGCCTTTACTTTTTTGATGAATGTCCTGTGAATGTCTTTTGGTCATATTTTTTCTAGGTGGTTTTTGGTCTTTCTCTTACCATTTTGCAAAATACTTTTATAGATTAGGGTTGTTACACAGAAATTTCCTAATTTGTCAAAGCCTTGCAAAGGCCTTAATAACATACTTGCAGAGATCTACAGGATTGCTATGTTTTTCTCCATGAGGGTGTCTTTAAAATGCATTACTTTTTTTTAACTAAAAAAATGCATGATAATGGTAGTTGTGAGATAGCATTAACATTATATAAATGAAAATGTTTTGTACTATATCTAAAAATGCATAACAAAATGTTAATAATGAAAAGAACAGGAAAAAGTGCTATACTAGCTCACTGAATATTTCTGACTTTCTCATTCATTTCTCCAAATCTTGGCAATGCAATTTACATATGGAATATTCTGGGGATTTGATCTGTTTGTCTCTGTGCCCTCCATTGCAAGCATTTCATTAATATTTTTGAGTCTCGTCGGAAACTTCCAAGGTATAACACACAATTGTGTGATTTCACAAAATAATCATTAGGATGCAGAATGTCAAATGCAAGATTGAGGTTTTTGGACTGTTGGATTTTTCTTACCCTTTCCAATGTAATTTCTTCAAACTCATATTCAATTTCTGTTCCATTGACCTGTAAGTAGGAAAAAAAGAAAGAATGATTAAATACATATTAAGGAGGAGACGGCTGCTTTTTAAACAACATTTGGGGTTAAGTTTCATTCTGGCTATAAGTAAACCACACTTTCTTAATGTTTGTGATTGTATGTTTCAATCAAATAAAATATCATCTAAATATATGAGTGAAACTGCAAAAAGTAAAGTTTATTGGATTCCTTAGAATTTGTGATAATTGGGACAGAGGGAACAATACAAAATACGCATTGCGAGGTTACAAAGAAGAAACCACATAGGGGCAATTGTTACATTTACAAGGGAAATAATTTCCTAATATCTTTTAAGATTTCCAAGAATGAACATGAAACTATGACCTTAAAAAGTCAGTGGAAAAGGCAGCACACACTTATGTCGTATTTTGCCAAAAAATAGCATTCAGAATAATCATGTCAGATAAGAAATGCCTTTTCTTTATTGCTCAAGCTCAGGTAATTCATCCCCATTATCCTCGTTATATTTATTAGGAAGTCCTGGACCATGTAACATAACCACGCTCATGTATTTCAGTAGCAGCAGGAAGAGAATAAAGTAGGACATGCTTGAAATTCCTAGTGAGAAAGCTTTAACCATCTAAACAATTCTTGCATTAATATGAATTTACAGAGAGAAATACTTAAATATAGCCAGGCAACAAATCACATATGTCTTTGATGTCAACAGAATGCACACAGAATAGATGAAGAGCGGCTTTAAAATAATCTAACAAATATTCGATCCCCATTCTCATCACAGAGTCCCTTCCAGCCAGGCAAAAAGCTCTGAGCGAGAAAATTCCTGAGGTGGCTGTCTTTTTTCTTACACGTGTCTCGGCAACATCATTAGCATTTAGGGATCCTCTAGAAAGACGAATTTCTAACCACCGTCACGTTTGTAGGGTCTTAACCAGTTGACTTTTCCCTAGAAGAATTTAAACATAGTTCTTGCAGACTGAGAGCTCTATAAAGGCAAGGACCAGATACCCTATTGCTAAACAAGTCTGGCAAGAAATAATTGGTGAAGGAAAGAAAAGAGGACGGAAAGAATGACTGGCTGAACTCAATATTCATTTATTTATGGGATTTGTAAACATAGGTACTTGTGAATTCTCTTCCATAAGGTACTTGGATGCAGTATCATCAGTGGAAGGTGTAATTGTAACTATAATCAACAGCTATAAAGAATGACGATAGACTTCATTTATGTGTGTCCACCAGCCACTTAGAGCATGTTTTTGATTTTCTAATTACGTGAGCTAATTGGTAAATCACATTTTACTGTGTTACTACATTATCAAACAGTCTTAAACCAAATGTGATTTTCTGGGCTTCAGCAAGTTAATGACTCATAGACGAGGACTTGATGATGTTAGGAAGCTTTGGTGGCTTTATGGAGGTTTTTGTTCCTCATGTGTAAAAATAAAACAAAACTCAAAGTCCCTGTATGGGTGCGTCTCCATATTAATTCCTTTTTTGTTTGATGGAACACAGAAAAGGAAGGCTGAATTCATGTGATATGTTTTAATTCTCCCAGTATGGCTCTGTGAAGCTTTTCTTTGCTTCAGTGACTTCTCTGGAGTGAAGCCCTTCATATTATCAAAGCGCTGAACAGTGGAGAGAAAAAAACAAAAAAAATAAAAACAACTTCAAAGAAACAAAAACAAACCTGTGATAATGAATTCTAAGGGCTCAGGCTGAAAGAAATGCTGTTAGAAAATGCTTAAAAGGGGTGCCTGGGTGGCTCAGTGGGTTAAGCATCTGCCTTCAGCTCAGGTCATGATCTCAGGGTCCTGGGATAGAGCCCCATGTCAGGCTTCCTGATCAGTGGGGAGCCTGCTTCTCCCTCTGCCTCTGCCTGCCGTTCTGCCTACTTGTGCTCTGTTTTTCTATCAAATAAATAAATAAAATCTTAAAAAAAAAGTTCTTAAAAGACAAAAGTCCTTTGTGGCATGCAGCATGGAGTCTTTAGTGGAGTCTCTCTGAATGTTTGCTTAACAAATCTATGATCATGTATGCTGACTTCAGTTCCTACACACACTATGGATACATACCCCGAGTGCTACTCAAAAGTTCCCTGGTCAGACAAACTGTGGGAAGTTTACAGCCTCCATGGGTCTTTAGTTTTCAACCTCAACAAGTCATGGCAGTTGCCTAATTCCCTAGTATCCAGGATGTCTTCATAAGAAGAGATGATGCCATCCAGATTGGGATGGCTCCTTGTTTTTTAAAAAAATAACATAAAAAAAAAGAAACTATAGACTTCTCAATTGAGTATAATAAAATATTCAGCAGCTCACTAACCCAGCTCTTCTGTTTAATCTGTGAATAAACAATAAAAATAATCATTGCTACCTTAAAAAAATACCATATGATTTCACTTAGATGTGAAAACTAAAAACCAAAATGAATGAATGAACAAACAAAAAGAAGCATCAGAGCTATAAATACAGAGAACAGACTCCTTGCTGCCAGAAAGAAATCAGGGAAGGAGGACGGGCAAAGTGGGTGAAAGGAGTGGGAGTTACAAGCTTCCAGTTACAGAATGACTAAGTCACAGGGATAAAAAGTACAGCAGTGGGAATAGAGTCAAAGGTATTATTATTAATAATATCTTTGTAGGGTGACAGATGGTAGTTAGGCTTGTGGTGAGCATAGCATAACATAGAGAATCATTGAATTATTATGTCGTACATCTGAAACTAATGTAAAATTGTATTTTGACTATACTCAAAAAAAGAATCTTATGACTGCAACAGGATTTAGTGAAATTATAGAGGAATGAAAGGTTTTTAGCATAGTTGAGGCAAGATTTCCACCGTGAATTGAGAACATTTAAAACATGGTATCACAAGAGCCAATGTGGGAGTTAAGGAAAGCCATTTAAGAGGTCCTGTTGTCTGTTCCGTCATCACTAGGGCAGTGTGATCTCTGTTCGGCCTCAAGACACCTGAGACAAGAAATCTCACAGCCTCTCTGGGCAAAAACCTTGGGGGAAGTGATAGAAAGCATGGAACACTGGGTGTTGTCTGCCTGGAACACTACATCAAAAACTAATGTTGTCTTGTATGGTGACTAACATAACACAATAAAAAAAAATTAAAAAAAAAGCATGGCTAAGTATACTTCCATTTTTTTTTAAAGATTTTATTTGTTTGTTTATTTGAGAGAGAGCTAGAGTGAGAGAGCACAAAGCAGAGGGAGAGACAAAAGAAGAGGGAGAAGCAGGCTCCCTGCTGAGCAAGGAGCAGGAGGTACGGCTCGATCCCAGGACCCTGAGATGATGACCTGGAGTGAAGCCAGGCATTTACCTGACTGAGCCACCCAGGTGTCCCAGTGTACCTCCATTTAATCAGAAGTACGTAAGAGTGGGTTGTGACGTTCATGAAAATTTAGTGACTTTTCTTTTTTTTTCTTTAAGATTTTATTTATTTATTTGACAGACAGAGATTACAAGTAGGCAGAGAGGCAGGCAGAGAGAGAGGAGGAAGCAGGCTCCCCGCTGAGCAGAGAGCCCCATGTGGGGCTCGATCCCAGGACTCTGAAATCATGACCTGAGCCGAAGGCAGAGGCTTTAACCCACTGAGCCACCCAGGCGCCCCGATTTAGTGACTTTTCAAATGAGTATACCAATACAATATTCTCTGAATAATTTTTTCTGTATTTAGTTAGAGGAGTGGTTGCTTGGTAAAGAGACAAGAAGTATAGACAGTAATTGTCCCCTAGCCATAATTTCCTGAATGCCCAGAAAAAAAAAAACAAAAACCGTGCTGTGAATGAGCTCCCATCATCTTCTGGGGGCTTCCAGACCATCTGTTGCCTGAACTTGCCTTGGTGGTCTCCCTGATTTCCAATCAGTTTACCAATGCATGTCTTTAAATTCACAAGACTCTCTTCCTGAAAAGAGTTCTGCCACATGCGTTTGTTGTTATTGCTCTTGACCGGTGACATTTCTGGTGACACTTAAGTCCCCAGGAATGTTTTATGCACCTGACAGTCTGGGGCCTGGACAGCTATGTGGACGAGGTTCAAATTTTCCCATCTCCTGCACTGATCATTACTGAAGGCTAGAAAAATGAGAGGGGACATTTTTGCAGAGATAGGGGGAATTTCCCGGTTTTGAAAAATCTGTTTTTCTTCAAAGATTTGATTTTCCTGAACCTAATGGTTCTGTGGTGACAGCTGGGCAGTTTCTATGGAGGCTAGAAAATCATAATGATGCCACACGTTGTCCTGCACTGTTCTGGGCATGTAGCCTTTTTGGCATCCTACAGAAGTTAAGAGAGTGACCCATTCAAATTCAAACTTGGTATTTAAAGTTATAATTTCATGAACTTTGAATGCTATCACACTGGTTTTTTTTTAACTTCTTCTCCAGTGCTACTTTAACTACCTGCCCAGGTGATCATATAATTTAATTGAGATGTATTTTTATCTTCTGAAACGAGGTCTTTCATGAGTAACGTACATGAGCTATTCCACGTTTTAATTTACTTTATTTAATTTAAGTAAATTAATTTAATTTCATGTTTTAATGCATTTAATTGGAATCTATAGAAATGACTTTTCCACAATTTTTTTTTTTTGTTCATTGCTACACATGTAATTTCACTAAAGCTAACAGCTTTAGCTCCTAAAATCTGGGATAAATAAATGTTTATACAACTCTATATTCCATATTATAACGAGTGCCAATACAGTAATATCAAAGGACTGGCTTCTTAAAACTAAACCTAATTCCATTCAATGAACAATTATTGAGCATGCATGATTTGCCAAGTGGTGTGACAGGTACTGAAAAAATAGAGATTTAAGATATAATCCCTATTGTCACTAAATGCACAGTTCTTAAGGAGGCACCAAACATACTAAGGCCTCAGAGAAGTGTGGTATCCAATATATAAAACAGAGAGATGGACTAGAACCACAACTCCACTGTTGCCACATGGAAGGACTGTTTGTTGTATATATGTATATGTATGGA